GGGGGGGTGTTTTCACCGCGACCCCCCCGGGAAGCAGCGCGGGGGGTGCGGAGCTGTTCGTTCAGCACCTCAGCAGGGACCCCCCAACACCTGCGGCAGCCTGGGGGGGGGAATCGGTGTGTGTTCCTGAGGGAAATTATACCCAAAATGGGTTGTGGGGGGGGTGATGGGGAGAGTTAAGAGATGTGAGAGGTGGGGGGGGGAAGGGGAGGCTGGGTGAAAAGTGGAAAAAAATAGGAAAACGCCAAGAAAATCGAGCCCAGGGCCATTCACGCAGGTGTCTCTTGCCAGCTCTGGGTCAGGTTTTGGGTCTTTTCTCACACCCAGATTCAAAGCCCATTACAAAACACACACCTCACCCTGCCCCCAGTTTTGAAGCTTTTCATTGAACCTCATCCCCCCCCTAAAAAAACCCTCAAGGAGCAAACACCCCGTCCCTCCCCGAGGAAGCTCTCGGGCTTTTTTCCACACCTCACCTGCCACCAGTGCAGATTTTTCCAGCCGTGCTGGTTTCTCACATCTTCACCGTGTACTTGGGAGGGAGGAAGGTGGGTTCTCACCCTCAGCTGCAGCTCCACCTCCACAACTGGCACAAAGATCTGCTCCTGAAACTCTGGAGCCTGCCCATGTCACTGCCACCCACCCTCTAAGGAAGGAGGACTTGGAGGGAAAGTTGGTATTTTTACTGGAATAACATGGCATCAACAAGCTGCCAGGTACCACGCTGCCTGAAGGACTTCTCCTGGCCCCTACAGCAGCAATGACTTCTAAAAAAGGGATTAAAACGTTCCCCACATGCATTTTATAAACCAGATCCTTCAAGGACCACACCTGCAACAGCAGTGCTACTTAGTGAGAAACCACCACCGTAGCTTTGCTCACCTGGATCATCAGAACCCAACTGAAAACCTTATTTTTTTGGAGGCAAAACCACATCCACAGGTAGAAGACTCTCGCCTTCTGGAGCCTGCAGAGTGCTCCATCTCATGGAGACTGAACTGTTTTCACAGACAGCTTCCTGAAATGTGAAGACAGGAGATAAAATAGAGCCAAAGAAGTTTAAATCTCAGCACATCTGTCATCGCTTTTACCCCAGTTGCTGTTTGCTACTTGCTCAAGAGGAGGTTCAGGCACAGAGCTACACTGGGCCAAGCCTTGGGCTACCAACAAATTGCTCACACTGGACTGTAAAAATGACACAGCCCTCAAGCCCTTCCCAGTCTAAAAGGAATCAGAGGATGAGCCTGTCAATGTTTAAAATAATTACATTACGCCTGGGTGGTGCCTTCATCACACCTATGAATAAACTCTGTGTACTCTTAAATGTCCAGCTTGTTTTTTAAATGAAGTTTGGAACGAAGATGCTTTATTCACAATGTGACAAGGGAGGTCCCCTCTGCACCATCACAAAATGCTGGGCTGGCAGCACTCACAAGTCTTTTAAATCTGCATTTTCTAGTTTTCACCTGGAGGTAAAAAGGTACTTTTCAAAAAAAACAGCAACAGCTGGTAGTGCTGCACCTGGATGTGCATCCAAAACAAAAATCAAGATATTTTCTGTTATTTTGACCACAGGGATGGAAACCAGGGGAATACCAGAGATGGAAATCATCCTGGAAATGAGCTAGTCCATCCCTGCTGATGGGAACTGAGCACAGGCACCACTGCACAGCTGCTCCGGCCGCTCCCACCAAACTCCTCCTCAGCCATTTTGGCCAGGGTCAGAGGTGGGTTTTGGCTACTGTATTCCTGAAACCCACCCTCATTCCCTGGAAACAGGATGTTAAGTCATAGCTCTAGAGAGGTCTCAGAGGGATTTGGCATACTGCATCCATCACCCAGTTTTAGCTAACTTCTTTTCCTTTTTAAGCCATCAATTCCCAACCAATCCTTTTTCCTTGCCTGCTCAGAGCCTCTTTCCCAAGCACAGTCTATTCCAACACCATCATCTCCAGGCATTTGGGTTTTCCCCATAAACACTACTCAGAAGGGATCACAGGACCCAATGAAGCTTTGGAGTATCCTTTTTTTCTTTAGAGTAAGGCTGACAACACCTTACTCTAGCTCTTTTTTCAAGAGCAGATACATCCAATCCAGCACAGTGAGATGGGGAAAAGTCAAGATGCTGTCACAAAGTAGGGAGTGGGGAATCTCTCTGCCATCACTTGGCACAGGACTCCCTTCTACAGC